TGGAGACCCCTGTCCATAGGACAACAATCAGTCGAAGCTGCACACATCTGGCCTTCATGGAAGGCTTTTCTGAAAGATATCCATTAAAAGTTGGGTTTAAAGATTACTGTGAGACACAGCAAACATGTGGAAGAAGGACATCTGGTCAGATGGAACAGAAATCCAACATTTTGGCTGCAACTCAGAGCGTTATCTTTGGTCTAAAGCAACACAGTTCATCACCCTGAACATACCATCCCTATTGTCAAACATGGTGGTGGCAGAATCATGGTTTGGACCTGATTTTCTTCAGCAGGGAGAGGGAAGATGGTTGGAATTGATTGTAAGATTGATGGAGCCAAATAAAGGAGAAAAGGGAGTCTGCAGAGAACCTGAGACTGGAATGGAGATTAATCTTCCAACAAGATAATGATCCAAAAACGAAAGCAACATCTACAATGGAACGGTTCACCATTAAACATATCCAGGGGTTAGAATGGTTTAGTCCAAGTCCAGACATGAAAACTGCTGTTTGCAAGACACTCTCCATCCAATCTCACTGAACTCCTGCTCTTTTGCAGGAAGTCTGATAGAGACAAACCCCTGCAGGACCTGCAGCTGTAAGCGCAGCAAAGTATGAACTCAAGGGGGCTGAATAATTAACTGAATCATTTTCCCCACCCAATTCAGTGTTTTTTTTTGTTTTTTTTGTTCAAAAAGTTTAAAATATAGAATAAATTTGGTTCCACTTCATGATTGGGATCTACAACTGAGGTAGGAGACTCTATTAGTCACATACTGCACAAACCTTTATGGAAGAAAGACATTCAGTTCAATTTATATAGCGCCAATTCACAACACGCGTCATCTCAATTAAATTCAACCAGATCATACAGTTAGATTTCTGAAAGATATGCATAAAAATGCCAGTTTAAAATTTGCCACAAGCCACCTGAGAAACAGCAAACATGTGGAATGATTGTTTCTTCACAGAGCAGAAATAATCTGATTAGGAGCTGGGCAGAAACCCTCCAGTCTGGTCTTTAATTATCTCTCTCTGTGTTTCAAATGGAGGTTTTAATTTAAAAATAAACCCTTTGGATATTTTCTGAGACGTTTAAGTCACACAATAGAAGTAAGCAAACTCTTCATGTGACCTTTGGAAGTAGAATTCAGAACCGGATTCTATCAAAAAGCTTGCATGAAAGAGAGTTTAATATTTGTTCTCATATGAAAGGATACCAAGGTAAGCTGTTAAAATAGGAAACATTTCCAAGTTTGTAGTTTTAGCTAGAGTATGCAATAATTAGCCCCATGCTAATGTGACCTCATAGTAGATCAACTTGATTGTGCCCTATTTCCAACATCTACAGTCGATAAGCACAGCTAAGCCTGTTCCGAGCCTTCAGCCATGTGTCCATACATGATGAATGATGAAGATCTGTGGTGTGTATTCTTTCAGGCATAGCAGGGAAATCCACTGCAGGGGCCACGGCTTTCTTAGGAGCTAATTGATGGTGTTCAGTGGCCTCTTTTAGAGCAGAGTAGCCATAGAGACAGAATAAGGCCATTTATGATGGTAGCAGTGAGCAGGGCTCTCTGACACCACAGAAACTGCAAACAGTGAACAATGTTAAAGTGGAGTCGGTGCCAGCTTTCATTAGAATAACACTTCCTGAAGTGTGAAGAAATGTCATGGAGTTCTGCAGCATCCACAACCTCGGACGGACCCTCCCAGATCTACGCGCTGCCGAATGTACTGGCTTTAAGGACTTCATACATGCCAACATCAGCTTATTGGTCAGATATTCCAGAATCAAACCAGTTTCTCATCAAGTTGAGTTGATTTAAACATTTCTGGAACGCTGGTGGCTTAATCTGGATTTAGCATTTTATACCATCTACCTGGAGTAAATGCAAACACAT